ATGTTGTCTTTGTTTCACCCAATAAAAATGATTCTGATTCTGATGCTTTTAGATCTTAATAAAGACAATTTTGTGCTGCTGGTGTATCTTCCTGCAGCAGGACGATTAGTTGGCCTTTTTTGCTCAGCTCATATTCGTCATAAAGGCTCCTCCAATGGACCCAAGAGCTGCATCTAGAGCAAAATCTGTTATTATTATAAGAACTCCTTATCAATGACTTGACTACTCCTATACTAATAACTGGGGATGACTGTCATAAGCCACCAGCAAAAGTAAATGAGGAACCACTAACCCTTTTATAACTGAACTGCGGTGATGATTTATTTCCCTTTATTAATGGCTTATTAGCACATAAAACTGCAGATGGCTGTGAGAAACTCATGAACAATTATTAGTGACTTCACTGTCAATGACACCAGCCAGGATGCTTTTTCACAAGCCATTATCGATGGCATTAAAATGACCTATAAAATGAATCATCATCCTGAATGAATGACTTATTAACCATTAGTAAATCCATTAGTTACAACATTAAAAAATGTGTGTTCTTAATATCCTGGGCTCTCTTGGAACTTATTTATATCCAAGAGGAAGAATACCAATATTGATATATCCACTGTATTCCCCACCTAATGATCATCAAGTCTCTTCTGTAGTGGAATTAACATCATATTATACCTGCATACTCTTATTGTGTTGGCCCACCAGCAGATGGAAACATGATGGAGAATGCTTTTCAGTGTATGAAATATTCAGTCATTGTGCAAAATAAGAAAAAGCATGTTGGCTGCTTCTTCATTTTAAACCCGATATCAGCTGATACCGATGACATGCCAATATTATTGTGCGTGTGTGTGTGTGTGTGTGTGTTTCATGACAGCGTCCTGTTTTTGAGCACCAACCAGTGAGAATTCTTTGCAAATATTCAATGAAACCATATCATTTGAAACATATTTACATACAGTAATCATCAGCATTCTGTGAGGCTGACAGGGCAGCTAATTAGTTAGTCAGCTAGAGCCCTTTTAGCACCTCAAAATATACTACCACATGTTGTGATCTTTGTCCTGCTAACAGCACACTGTGTGTGCTTGGCTTGTAAGCTATATCTGATAAAAAAATATTCATAATACATTTGAAAATCACTGACATATTTTGGACTGCAAATGGATGGCTTTTGTGAATTCAGTTGGACTTTTTAATACAATATCACATCATAGAAAGAGTGTTTTGTGGGACACAGCTGTGGCTCAGCGGATCGTCCACCAATCGGAAGATCAGTGGTTCGATCCCTGGCTCCTCCAGTCTGCATGTCCATGTGCACCTTGTATGGTAGCCTCAGCCACCAGTGTATGAATGTGTGCGTGTGAATGGGTGAATATGACTTGTAGCGTAAAAAGTGCTTTGAGTGGTCGGATGACTAGAAAAGCACTACTACAAATGCAGGTCCATCCATTTACATCCAAGCATGCCTGCAAGATAGGTCTGCTCACTCAAAACCTATTTTGCTACAGAATGATCTCTGTTTGATTACACTGACAAAATGCCATCTTGACAATCAGCTTATCAACCCAGACAATGTGTTTTATTAGTTTGGTTTGCTCAGCTCAGTCACAGGTCCCTCATAAGCTGTAGTTTCTTGTCTCTCATGTGCTGAAGGAGAATCTTCCCTCTGTGTTCTATAGTGTGGATGAGAGGCCTGAAACCTCTGGCCCCACCTTGGCTGTCCCAGAGTTCCCTGTCTGTGTAAAGGGAGCGTAGAAGAAGACTCTCCAGACAGCCTGACTGGAGCACTGACACTGCTCTCTCCGGAAACCTGACAACAAAAAGCATTGGAATTCATGTGTTTGGCTTCAATACAAATAAGACTTACAAGTGTGTAATCTCTATAAACAGATATCTGCATATGAATGAATCTGTTGGCAACTGGACAACATTTTGGTGTCCGAAGTGTTCTGGTTTATGTTTGTAGTATTGATCACTCACATCTGAGCAGGCTTTGGATACATGCAGGTAAACAGTCCATGTGAGGAAAAAAAAGAGCTGGAATGAATGAACAGAACTGCAATCTTGGAACCTATCTGCTGCATCTGACGACAAGTTCACTTTTCAAAAGCTTTTAAAAAAATGTATCTGCATTCAGACATCTGTTTATAGAGATTAGTAAACAATGAACTGCATATGGGAGAAGAAGTCTTGGCTTGGACATCAGCTGGCTACACCAGAATCCCCAAAATATTGGCCATTGTCCCCAGAGGCTTATCGCCATCATACCGACAGCTGACAAATGTGTAAAGCCTCTTTAGCAGCCCCTCAAAGTTGTAATGTTCTCTGTACACCACAATATAAGAGTATTGGACAGAATTGTTATTTTACAACCTCATCACTAAGGCCAGTTGCTCCTCACTTCTTGATGTGCCTTCCCACTAGTGTTGCTATTAATATTAAAATGTTTTATCAGCACAGTATATTTTCAAAGTGCTGAATTAAAGACATAGTTTGTAGCATATGGGTGAGTAGAGTAGGTGAGTAGTTTTAAGATCGAGCTCTTAACAGTCTTCTTAGCGACCAAACGCTTACAGATCCAGCCGCGGCAGGCAAATTAATATTACACTAAGCAAGGAGATATTAAAACAGTGCGCACCATATATATTTCGATCTATTTTATATTTCAGATATATATTGTTTAGCATTAATTGGTGACAGAAAAGAACAAATTTCATTCTGCAGGGAAACGCGTGTCCTTACTGTTCATATGACAATAAACACTTTGAATCTTGAGTCTATATGTTTTATGAAGACCCTATGTGCGCTCAAATCTGTGGCACAAGTTACGCAACGAAATCTGGTGGAAGAATAATAATAATAAGAAGAAGAAAAATAATAATAAGAAGAAAAATAAGTATGAGGAATAACAAGTGTGTTCCTGTGTGTGCTTTGCACATCAGGCACACAAATAAAATGAATCATGACTATCATTTATCATAATTTGTCCGCACATATCCCACATCTGCATGCACATATCAGATAGTTTACTGCACCCAAAAAATGCATCAGGGCAGGTGTAATTGAGCTCAGCTGGAACCTCATCAAGGGACACTCCACCCGCTACTCTATATAAAGGCGTTGCCACATCACACATGTGTGAGATACCATGGCTGCTTTACAGCATATTCTCACCGCTAACCAACAGCGTCGCCGTGTACACGTAAATGCATTTGTGCATCAGCACTACAGCTCACTCGACGTGACGTCAGACCAGGCTGTCCAAATGAAGTATCGGAGGCCCCATGCTGAGATACAATGCCTCATTAACTTAGTGGCCTCTAGTTTCCCGGTGTGGCGTAGGGTGGCGTAGGGTGGCACAGGGTGGCGCAGGGTGGCGAACCCCGTGCAGAGCTAGTTTCGAGCAGTGCAACCCGAGGCGCGCTCAGTTTGGTAGTTTGGCAGACCGAGGTGCGCTGAGATGGGTGTGGCGGCGCAGCAGGGGGAGGTGTCGACAGATTCAGCTTGGCGCAGTGACAGTTTCGTGCCAAAAGGCTTCGCCGAAGGTGCGCTAAAAGCTCGCCAGCTGAAACCACGTCTACTGTCAGCGCAGGCGGAGCGCAGCCGGTGTAAGTGGAAGTTTGGCTGACCGGTGGACAGTGCGCACACGTCACCAAAACCTCACAGGCAGGTTTCCAGAATGTCAGGCACATTAACGATGCAATAAATACCCAAAAAACCACTATTCAATGCAACTATCTGCAATCAGCACATAAATGTATCTCTATATCGACTGTCCCGTCACATCTGATGTCAGATCAAAGGGGACTGGCACCGTTTGGCACGTTTGGCACGCGTAATGGAAACCCAACCTGATTTGATTAAACAGCTGCAAACTATGAGTTCACATCCCTCTCAGCCAACCACAAACAGCCACAGCATCAGATAGGGAGTATATATTCAGCATCTGTCATCTTAGAAAAGTCAAAAGAAAAGAAACAGAGTGAGACTGCGAGAGAGAAAGAGAGAGAGAGAGAGAGAGCGCGTGTGCGCACGAGAGAAACGCGACATTGATTTACGATTGTGATGACCTCCTCCCAGACTACCTTTGCATCATCAGCCCGTGGAGGTCTGCTCGCAGTTCCGTATATTCGGACACTGCGAGCTTGGACCTCCCGGACCAAAACATCAGTTTCCTCCTGGGAGAAGTTTGGCCGTCTAACGCTGCTGCTCTCTTCTGCCATGGCGAATTGAGTAAACTCTCATTACGCCTTCGTGCGGCGCATTTAAGGGCGAGGAGAGGGGCTCATTTGATTGGTGTGATGTGTGTAAAACCCACTCCACGCCTTCTCTCCTCCCTCTTTCCGACTTGCGCAGGTAGGAGGGACGGAGGTGGTAAAGAGGAGTAGCTGTGCCAGGGCGCACGGTGTACCAAACTTGCAAAATCCACCTGGCCACACCCAGTTGGCGAAGCACAGGTGAGCTGCGCCCCCGCCTCGCCCGGTCTGCGAAACTAAAGCCCTATATGTTAAAACAAGGATTTTGAACTGGATCCTAAAGCTGACAGGAAGCCAGTGTAGGGAGGCCAGGACAGGAGTAATATGGCAGTTTTTGGGTGAATTGGTGAACAGCCTGGCAGAGGCATTCTGCACCAGTTGAAGGCAATCTACAGAAGAATTACAGTAATACAGACATGAAGACACAAAGGCATGAATGATCATTTCCAGTTCAGCATGTGATACAACAGATCTCAGTTTTGCTAAGGTCAAGCAGCACTAGGATGGTACATTTACCAGTGTCAGAGGCCATCATGATGTTATTAGACACTAAGAAGTGCTGTCTCAGTGGAATGCTTCTGACGGTAACCAGATTGAAATTTGTCAAGGATACAATGCTTATTTAGGGCAGGGACTAGTTGGTTAGCAACGACTTTTTCTTAAATCTTTGAAATATAAGGCAATTTAGAAATGGGCCTAAAGTTGCTAAATAATGGAGTTTAAAATAGGAGGGGAAGCAGCCAGACACCAGTGAGCAATTAATAATACAGAGCAGGGAAGAACCGATGGACCCGGAAACTTTTTTCAGTAGAGACGTGGGCAAGATGTCTAACGGGCTAGAGGAGATCTTCATACTGCTCACTAGCTTAATTAAATCTTGTAGGGAGATGGGCAAGAAATGATCCAGTATTGGCTGCCGAAAAGGAGGAGCAGGGGGAGGAGCAGAAGAGGGGGTAATACTTGCTCTAACACTAGCAACTTTGTTGACAGAAAATTGTTACAGTCATGAACAGAGAAGACAGGCACCGCAGGGGGCTGGGAACAGACAAGATTATTTATAGTGTCAAAAACAACTTTGGGATTCCGCTTATTAGAGGAAATGAGGTCAGCAAAATAAGAGGCCCGTGCAGCTTTAACCATTGAGTTATACTCCGATAAGAGTTCTGTAGACTTCCACAGGCACTCCATACGGCGACATTTGTGTCTAAAACAACGAATGTCATCATTAATCCAGGGTTGTAGAATTAACCCTATGGGCCCTAGGCGTTTTTGGGGTATTTTTTACTGCCTTTACTTTTAAGCTCATATCACAGTCATTATAAAGGCTACATACACATGCTATATAATGTTTTTTTCAGGACAATCTGGGCTAACCAGATTTGCCATCTTTTCATGTCCTTCTATGTGCCTGTATTTTATATTAATTTTTATATCAATGAAAAAAACAAATCCGTGTGACTAAATTCTTACATTTTTACATGTATCTCAGCATAGCAAGTTGGAAGAAGACATATTCTGCCATATATGAAGAGGGGAGACTCTCTGGAATCTGGTAATATAAGAACCATGATGCTGGGACATTCTGTCACTTCACAGCTGTCCAAAACATGTGGTTTGTGCCAGGCGGACATGATTGCCAGTATTTTTTCATTATTGCAAGAAATTCCATTGACTCATTCACAAGTCAAAAATGTGTTTTATCTGAAAGAAACATGCAATATTTACATCTAAGATCATACAAAAATAGTCTACCAATTGTCTACCAATTACAATGATGTCCTCCAAGATAATATTTGCCACTTTGTTTGCAGTAAACAAAGTTTGTTGTTGTTGGTGGGGGGGCACGTGTCCCCCTCAATGTATATGGTAACTACGGCCCTGTCAGCATGCATAATTAGGCTGCAGTTGTCTGGGTGCGCAAAGGTGAAGTGGCTGGTCTTGTCATACAAAGTTTGATGGAGTGTCAACTGGACAATATGGAGATATTTGCATCTTGAAAGCTGGACTACAAATGTGGATAGACAGGGAGAAACACACGCAAGCCTAAGACGTGGTAAGATATGATATTCCTCACTATATGAAGTGACTGATAACAAGATCTGTATAATGGATTTTGAAGAAATTCGTTAGGTTTTTATTTTGTAGACAATTGATCTGTATTTACAGTGTGATGGGATGACAGTACAATGATGTGTGTGATATCATTGGAAAGCTCTGCTCCTGCACTTTCATGTGATATGCGTGGCATTTCTGTGCGAGCCTGCATTCGCGAGTAATCCATCCAAGAGAAATGTGTGTGCAAAGCTGTATGAAAGCTTTGTTATACATAATTTTAGTGTAACTTTATCATTTTTTTCGCTGTGAAAACATTGGACTACCAACAAGTGTTTGATCTTGTCGGAAAGCTATGATTCTGCTGTTTCACGTGATATGCGTGGATTATCGCTATGACGCACGGTCTCGGAGAAAATCAATAGAGAATAACAGGTGTGAATTTGGACGCACTATGCGTCGTTCAGGCCCATAGGGTTAACAGTAGCGACTGTACGGGATT